ACATTTATTGCTGACTGGCAACCCCATATGGGCTTTTTGTGGAAAACAGAAAATAATGAACTTATGATTCATGGTTTTGATGATTAGACAGGACAGATTATAGAAAGAAGAGAGACGTTGTAACTTTAGAGAAAAAGGTAAACTTATAATTGGACTTATAACTGCTGTAAAGAAGATCGAAAGCCACTTCTTTGTATCCTTTTTCTTTCTTTTCTATTTTTCTTTTTTCTTCCTTTCCTTGCATTTTTAGCCTTCTCTTTCTTTTTCTTTTTCCTTCCTTACTTTATATTGTTGTGTATTAGTTTTTATCTTCCTTTTTAAAACTTTTAATAAAATTATTAAAAAAGAGAGAGATGGAGGTGCAAGTGCAGGTAGGGGAAAGGGAATGAGAAAAAAAGCCAAAGGAAAAGGGGGAAGGAAAGGGGAAAAAACAGAGACAGACAGAGATCTGCTTATAAGCCTTCCAGAGGCTGGTTGGAACCAGCAACTAATCCACCTAATTCAACTAATAATGCCGTAATCCAGCAGGGCTGTTCTTATGTCATCCAGATTTGTAAAAATGCAGAGATGACATCTGAATAAGAGGTGACCTTGCTCTCCCCATGCCATAGCAAGTCACATTCATCATCCTTTGTTGTTGTTGTGCCTTTGAGTCAGTTTTTTGAATCCTGGCAACTGCCTGGACAAGTCCCTGCAGTTTTCTTGGCAAGATCTTTCAGAAGTGGTTTGCCATTGCCTCCTTCCTAGGGCTGAGGGAGGAGGACTGGCCCAAGGTCACCCAGCTGGCTTCATTCTAAGGTGGGACTAGAACTCAAGTCTCCCAGTTTCTAGTCTGGTGCCTTAACCACTACACCAAACTGGCTCATCATCCATAGGATCACAATATTACATGCAGAAGAGCAGCAAGCCAGTTATTTTTTCCCTGCTAGTGCACTCACTTTACGTTCACAAAAGAAACACTTTAAAGCTGGGGTGGACAACCTGAGGTCCCAGCCCTCAAACCATTATTGTTGTTATTGTTAAGTCCCTGCTGCCTCCTCTGACCACGTGATCAACATTTTGAGGTGGGAAACCCACAAAGATGATCGTGTAAGTGCTAATATGGAGTTAATATGGCTGAAAAAGTATTAATTCCAAGACCCCCCCAAAAAACAATCAATCCTGGATATGTCCTCCTTATCCCATCCACTATGACCCTTGCCTTCCTTAAAAACATGTTTTGCCTGATTTCCAGCTACCAAAAACCTGCCCATTCTTGTTTCAAACAAAGCTTACCAGGCTCTACTGCTCCTTTGATGCTTCCAATCACATTATATATCCGTCTAATTTGACTGGTGGTATGAACATGCATCCTAACTTTCCTGGAAAACAAGGGGGAAAAAAAAAGATTTGGTGACACAGCAGTAAGGTCAATGATACTAGGAGTACCTCAAGGCATTCATAAGTTGTATTTTTGCAAAAGGAGTCAATTCTGCTATGGGTGAAGTCAATCATCTGCTTGTGGTTGGCCATGAGCATCTCCAAATGGATCCTTGGATTAAATCTTCAGTTATTTCTGGCTTGACTCAAGTGATCAACTTCTGGAAACAAATATCTGATCTTAGCCATAACCAAATCCCAGTTGGAATCAACGTGTCTGTCCAGAAAAACGGCTAGTGTTCCTGGACAACCGCAACGAGCAGGTTGGGGAACTGAAGTACATTATTGGGTTTTTTTGTGGCTACACCCATCCTGTCTAACAACTCCTAGATAACAAGGTGGCCCTCACATTACAGACCCTCCTGCAATTCTCCTGCAACTCAGAGGAGAGCCTTCTCTGCCATTGCCCCCGCCCTTCGGAATGCTCTCCCCCCAGAGGTGCGGCAGGCCCCTACCCTCCCAGCTTTCTGGAAAGGATTAAAGACCTGGCTCTGCCAGCTTGCATGTGGTGACAACAATCTTACTCAATCCTGGAGTGGTTGGCACCTTGATGATGCTCCCTGAT